ATGCTTTCTCCTTGGTCTTATGGGGATTGTGTCCCCTTCTTCCCTTCTGAGACCTCTAGTATCCTCTGAGTATCTCATCTCTTAGATTAGATCTCCCCACAAATATTCACATGGCATCCAGAAACCTAGAGAGGGTCATTAATCATGAAGGAAAGTGTTTTCTCCTGCAAATTTATTTTCCATCAGGAACATCACATTTAGAGATTAGTGTCTACACTTTGGCCGATTTGCATACAGCAGCCTACTGCTGTTTGCAGGCTCTCTGCAGTGTTTATCAGTTTCTCATGAGAAGATTTACTCTGGTCCGAAACAGAGGAGTTGACAAGTTAATCCCATGCAGGGGTCTGGGCTGTAGGAATCATCAGAGCCTTCTCTGCATTGCTGTGTAGGCTCCACTAGAGGGCAGGCATAGAGTTTTCCAGGAGGTTCACATTCACCTGGTATCTAATCAAGACCAGGTACATCTTCCCTGACCTGTGCCTCAGACCTTGTCATACTGATATTTCTCCAAAATGATGTCTTTGGACTGTTGAAGAAACATGCTGTTTGTTCTAATCCAGCACAGTGTGTATTTTCCAGTTCAACTTCTAGCAGTTTTAAAAAGTTGAGGAAAAGAATCCTGCCCAGGTGACATGCACAGTACATGATATACTGAGGTTCTTTAATGTACTTCAGGATCAAATATGAGCATAATCATTAATTATACGCAGAACTTTAGCTTTATTTCATACTTGATGACTTTCAGAATAAGCTATATCAAAACATGGGGCTTGACATAGGAAGTTATTTGAGTTGATGTATGAATGTGAGGAAGGACACAGATCTTACCCTGAAACTGCTCATAAAATCTAGAAAGGACTTCCTGACAATTTCCTTAAGCAGATCAGAGGCACCACATGTCTCTCCATGGAGGAAACGTGCAGCCTCATATCTGAAGACTGATGAAGGCACACAGAGAGGACATGATCCAAAAGCCCTCACTATTTGCCATTCATCTGCTTGACTCCTATTGCTTTCATTTTGACACACGTTTCATATCATTCCACTTTCCATCAACACTAGAATAAACTCTCAGGTCTACTACATGCTCTAAAAGGCACAGTGCTGGCCCTGAGCAATGGTGCATATCCATAGCTCAATGCCATGCTGCATGGGTTAAATAAATGGGCCCACCAGGAGTTGAGTATCAGGAAAGGCCCCCGAGGTGAGAAGGGTAAGTGTATTGGGAAATATGGGGGAATACATAAAGGCATCATTTTGTGGTATGGAAGGAACTCAGGTGAACATGAAGACTGTAGTCCACTCCAAGGATCAGGACCATAATGAAATCTGGAGTAAGGGCCCATCTGTTCTGGAGCCGTGTGCACCTCTGTCCCTACACGTTGTAGAATTTGGGGACAGAAACCTGATATGAGACCAGATGAGTGTTTGGAAGACTCCCTTTCTTTGGTAGGCTTGTCCTGGTCTCTAGCTGCCTGCAGGGTCAGTAATTCCTCTTGAGATGAACTCCACAGCAGGATTGATGCCCTTCACCATCTCCATGTGCTCCATGGGTCACTCTGACTTGTGCCTGGGATGGTACCCCATCTTTAAACTAAAGAGTGTTCTGGGACTCTAGAGGCTTTAGGCACAAGGGAGATGTTGGTGTGCTTACTCTTCCTGTTGAGGCTTTAGGCACAAGTGACATGTTGGTGTCAAAGACTTTGTTCTTGTCTTTCACACTTGGAAGCCTGGCTAGGGGTGGCATAGACCAGGGAATGAGACCTGTTCAAAGACAATGCAGGCATGTACAGGGGTAACAGCTGCTCTTATACCCTCATACATATCAAACAGTGTGAGTGAGAGATAACTCTTTCCATCTTTTACCCGGATAGATGGAAGCTCATTAGGTTGGGTCCAAAGGGAACTCTCCAAATGAGCATGGTGCCTGGATTGGTTCACAGGGGTCTGGGATTCAGGGTTAGAGCCTCCCCAGGGCAAGAGACAGTGAGGTGGGGATGGATGGCAGCTGATGATGCTGTGTTCATCTTCTTTCATCTCCCCTGTACACTGTGGCTGGGCTTCAATACTATATGCTTTTATATTTAAGTAATTTGATACTGATTAAGTGAAATCCAAAACTTTGTTGTTAATGTATATTTAATGTACCTGACTTTTTAAATTGTAAATTAGAATATTTCCTTAATATTATTTGAAAATATGCACATTTAAGGATTCCTTCTTAAGCAAAGGATAGTCTATGTAATGACACTTAATTCTGAATGAAAGCAATCTTGAACAAAATCTCAGGTCTAATCATTTGGTGGTTTCTTTTTTTCCTTAGGAAGACTTGTGCTGTGAAAGTTTGTACTAGGTGAGTGTTCATGTGTTTCTCTTGGCAATCTCTGTTTTGTTGTCGAGTCCCTAACAAGGAATTTAAGATCGGTAGAACCAAATGATAAGACTCTCCTTTAAAAAAAAAGTACTCTCATATCAAAAACATCGTCTACTAGCACCACCATAATCTGTTTTCCTTATGCTATCTAAGGATATCTTAGAAATTTTTTAATTTGAATGTAATAAGCCCCTATAAGCTCATAGGTAGTGGAATTATTAGGATGTATAGCTTTGTTGGAGAGAGTGTAGCCTTGTTGGAGGATGTATGTTACTGTGGAGGAGTGTTGAGATCTCTTATGCTCATGCCATGCCTAGTGTCTCAGAGCACTTTTTGATGCCTGTGGGATCAAGATGTAGCTTCTTCTCCACTTTCTTTTCCTTCTCGAGCATCATGTCTGCCTGCATGCCTCCATGTCCTGCCATGATCATAATGGACTAAACCTCTGAAACTGTAAGCAACCTGATTAAATGTTTTACTTTTTAATTGTTGCTGCAGTCATGGTGTCCCTTCACAGCAATAGAAACCCTAACTAAAACAGCAGGTATCCAACATAATTACAGAGGACAATGGACTCAAAACAGTTTTACTTTTGGACCACCCTTTGAACATGGATCAGATGCAGAATACATTGTAAGGATTTGCACATTTAGCTGTATTTGTTACAAATGCTTTTAGACCTGTATCGTCTATGTAGATATCATTGCAGAGCAAGCCCAAGGTCAATCAATTCACCTTGCTAAGTGGAAATCTGGGACAGCCATGTGTCATGCAGTGGGTAAGAGCTGATGTGTTGTTCTACGCTGAGTAGCAGCGTGCAGAGTCAGAAATACCTTTCTCTTTGTGTTCTGCCTTTTTATCCTCCTATTACTTCAGACATGATCTTTCACCCATTTAACTAGAACTTTCCCGCATATGAAGTCAGCCCACCCAAATGAACCCCTTCCCATGCTACTCACCCTGGTTACCTCCATGTCTTCAAAGGCTAATGTAATAAATGTTTCCTAAGTCTACACAGAAATATAAACTAGTACATGAATAAATTAACAACTCGACTTCTAGACAACTAGAAGATGTTTTAGATAGAGACCATAGTGGCCGCCACCATCATGGAGTATGATACCTCATGACATATATATATAATACTGCATTACTCAGAAGAGAAAAAAATAAAAATATAGTATTAATATTAAACTACTGAAATGATATGCAGGTATAGAAAAATGAACTGAAGGAAGATTTGATATTCATTTCTAGATACTGATAGCAAAGGTTATTTCTGATATTTATGCTTTTTGAAAGTTTTTTACCTATTTTACATATTTTTATGTAAAAATTTTACATATTTTCTAAAAAGGCAAATGCAGTGTCTCTGTTGTGAATTAAAAAGTTATGCCTTAAAAAAAAATATAACAGGCACTCAGAGTTGAAGGCAGAAAGCTGGCCAATCAGAAAGTTCTGCTGCCTCCTTGGCTGGTGTCTGGGAGTTGGGATTTCAGTTTATCTTTATATTTATAGACACATATTTATGCAATTAGATGTGGTTGTACATATTATGTATACTATATAGATACTTATAAAAACATGCACATAACTATACTCATAGCTCTGCATACAACATGGATACCAAATATATGTGTACCAATACCAAAAGGTTGTTTGTTTCTTTTTATTTTCTTATTATGCCAATTTATTTATTTTTTTTCAGAGTCCATAAATAAAATTTTATTGGACACATTCACACTTATTTGCTTACAACTCAACATATAGCTACTTCCACATTACAGTCACTTGGCTGAGTAGTTGCAGGAGAAATGATATGGTACACAGTTTAAAATACTATCTTTCCCCTGCAGGGTATTATGCGAATTTATTATACATCTAATTTAATTTCAAAGTTTATTTCTATGTGTGTGTGTGCCTGCAAAGGTGGAGACAATTTCATGTTTTTAAATTTATGATTGTGGGCACATGGATGTGTATACTGTGTGAGAACAAGCATGTGTGTATTGTGGCACAAGAATGATGGTGCCCTCATCCTTTATGATGGACTATTGCAGTGGGGTGGGGCATGCTTGATCATGCTGCATTCCGTGCATGGAACTTCCATGCTTCTAGAGCACAGATGTTGTCTAAGATGTTACTAACAATGTGTAGACGATTCAGGATCTTTCTTAGATGGATATCTACAATCTATGTCACACGTTAAGTCCCTAAAATACCATTTGCCACCAAAACATGTAAGTTTTCAGTTTCTCCTTCCTCTTCCACTGCACTTTCAGGTTATAGTAAATCACCACCATCAAGTAAGTCTAAAAACACTTACTGGTCATCCACAACTTGGTGGAGAGAAGAAAATTTTGGGTTCCCAGGATACAATGATGTTGACAGGAAGACTTGCAGGTGGGGTGTTCCTACTGCAACTGTTACCACGGGCCTTGAGGCTGAGACAGCAAAGAGGCATCTCTGCTGGGCAACTGTATAACTTCTCGTCTTCTAGATTCTGCCGCTGCAGACAGGAAAAGGATTTCAAGGTCTGTGATTAGATAGCTGGTTTAATTGAGGCCATCTTCCCTAAATCCTGTTTGGCTTTGAGGGTAGCACAACACTTACACTTCATCTAGAAAACAGGAAGAAATTCCAAAGTGTTTTTCTTTTATAACTGAGATTTTATTGGTTGAGGACCAGCAGAAAAACATGTTATTTCAGTTTGGTTTTCCTTCTTTTTGCATGCCACAATTCTTAAGAGTAGGTTTCCATCTGCAATAAGACCTAGCATACAGGAAAGAACACTGTGATACCTTAACTAACTCTTCAGATCTCTAAGCTGCCTCCTTCTGACTACCCATCAAATGGCAGGTTAGGGCAAGAAAAAAGCATCCATGGTAAAAAAAAAAAAAAAGAATAAAAAGGAAACCCAACACTAAGGAGACTGAGTTAGAAGGATTTCTGGGAATGTGAGGCCAGCCTTGAGAGAGAAAACTTTCAGGGACAGAGAGAGGCATGAAGGCAAAGGAAAATGGGAAATTCGGAATGGGTTTGCTCAAAGTGGGATATGTTCACTGTTTTCTACTACTAATCTCCACTAGCATTTGTTAAAAAAGGTGACAACAGCTGAGGCAGAGTCAGCACCTGTCCCAGGACTCCACTTTCCAAAATGGGACAGGATGAACTGCTGTTACACTGCCATCCAGTGAGTGACAGCCTCGGAAGTCATCAACTACCATGATGAGAGGAAATAGGGAAAGCCTCATGGCTTTCTGCTTTCTGGTCAATCCCACTTCAAGTTGTGTTTAATGTTGGAGAAGGGACAGGCTGGAGGACAAATTTCAAACAGCTTTGTTCCCCAAGGCCCAGGTACTGCAGATGGCACAATACACATCTCCTAATAAGAGAATACTGACGATAAACTGAGTCTCAGAAATGGTAGACAATTATTTGAACTGTTTACATACAGACTGAGTCTGCCCCATCACCACTGACCTTTCTCTTTTGAGCAGTGAACTTTTGTAGTAGGAGAGGATTATTGGATGGGAAGTTGTCCCGAAGCAATGATGATAACTGTAGCCTTTGGGCAACTTCCTTAATTACCAGCCCCAAAACATCTGCATAGCTTGACCACCTTTGTGCTTCCCTGAGCAGAGTGAGGCCTGACCTCTGTGAAACTCCATAAGGAACCATTGTCATGGTTACATGTGTGCCCTTGACAGGTTGACAGCTCACTCTTCTAAAGTGGCCTGTGATTCACAACAATAATAACGTGAGCAGGAATCAATTTCTGTTGAGTCAGTGCAGACATGCTTTGTGGGAAGACCTGATCACACATCAGTGAGTATACATGACAAGGAGCTTTCTTGAAAGGGATCACAAAGGCATGGTTCATTATTCCAGGGGTTTTCAAGGCAGAAGACAAATGTCATTTTGAGAAGGTTTTACATAGCAAAGACCAGGGGAACAGCCTCATTAGTGCATTCCATGAATGACATATAGGAGGGGACACCATGCCCACACTGCATAAAAACCTCCATGAAGATCTTCACAACCATCATGTGCCTATGAAGGCAGCCGCTAGATCAATGGAGGACAGGCCTCTTCTGTTATATTAGCTGCCTGTTATATGCCTTCATGGGAGTAGTACATAAGGAAGGAAAGGCAGCAGAGACCTTGTTGGGACTCAATTTTGTTATCTTTACTGAGAAGCAACAATTTTCCACGTGAGCTCATGGTGCCTCTTTACCCATGCTCACAATCTCCAATGCAACAGCAAGGACTCTTCCAAGCACCACTGTTTCCTACCTACCTTACCTTTCTATTTGTGTAATATATAGTTTATTCCATCTGGACTCTGTGCTGTGTGTGCTGGTGTCTGTGCCCATTTCACTTGGAAAGAGCCAGTGTTCCTCAGAATATACTTGAGTTGTAAGAGAAGGGCTGTAAACACTGACCTCTATCAATATCCACGTTATTTTTGTTTCAGAATGGCTGAGCATAATCCAAGGCTAATTATAAATTACAAAATAGCTTCAGAAAAACCTGGACTCAAAAGCATCCACTGCTTTAACCCTAAAGAGAAACAGGTACTAGAGAGTTCCAGAATATCAATGTAACCAGGCTTACCTCTAACACAAAAACTGCCTGGACACAGCCATACCCTGAAAGTAGCCCAGGCCAACATGGTCTCTGAAAAAGCCCATGCTAAGCACCTAAAGTGAAAGTAGACCAGAATTAACCATTAAACCATGATGTCAAGAGAGAAGTATTCCAAGGCCTGAGGATGAACCTGATGAAGACCAGGAATAAAGCCTAAATTAACAATGGCTTTACCTCATTCAGAAAGGTCACAGACCAACCCTAAGAATAAAAGTGCCAAATCCTGACCTAAGAGAGGCCTGCACCCAAACCTGAAGCTGAATAAGCTCTGACCCAGAGGAAAAACAGAGGTATCCCTGGGCCAGTCCATTAAATGGAAGAGCCAAGGCCAAAGGAGAAAAGGAAAAGTAACAAAATGAAATGAAACAAAAAGTAAAGAAAAGAACGCCAATGTCTATCCTGACCCTGAAGGAGGCTGGCCCCAACCAAGAGGGAGATGAGTTCTGCCCTATCCCTCAGAAGAAAAAGACGTGGCTCAAAGAAGAAAAAGGAGAGTATCCATGACTCAACTTTACCTGGACTGAAGGCAGGGCCCTCACCAGGATGAGAAGTTGGCCTCAGCATAACTCTGACCATGAAGACTGGGCCAAACTAAGAAAGGACACAGGCCCAGACCAATCCTTCAAATGAAAGAGGCCGGGACAAAGCAGGAAAAGGGAACACAGACAGGGGCCTAACACTTACCCTGACAAAAGCCTGAGATAAAACAAGGGGAGAAGAAGACCTGGGACATTCTCTTAAATGACAGAGGCCAAGGACCAACCAAGATAAAACTATTGTCTGCCTATAATTCTTACCCTGATGAAGTATGGGCCTAAGCAAGAAGAGATGTGGGCCACATCATAACCTTAATGCTGACAAAGACCAGGCCAAAACCGAGAAAAGTAGTGGGCCTGAGTCCCATTCTAGCTATGCATATGCCTGGGCCCTAATCAAGAAGAGAAGTGGGGCTGGGGCAGCCCCTTAAAGAATGAACACCCAGAGAAAACCAAGAAAACAGCTATGCCCAGCTCTAACTTTTATTCTGAAGACACCAAGGACCAAATGAAGAAGTAGGTCTTTAGCTAGAGTTTTCTCCAGTCCTGCCTGGAGAAAACTGCCAACAGTCAGTTCATGTCTCTCTACATGCCAGTCCCGAAGGTGCTCAAACCCAACCAAGTAAACACACAGAGACTTATATTACTTATAAACTGTATGGCTGTGGCAGGCTTCTTGCTAACTGTTCTTATATCTTAAATCAACCCATTTCTATTAATCTATAAGTTGCCCACGTGTCTTGTGGCTTACCAGTATTTAATCCCCATTGAAATCCCAACAAACATCTTCACAGATTTTCAAAGAACAATTTTCAACTTCATATTGAAAACCAAAACCCAGGATAGCCAAAACAATCACGTACAATGAAGGAATGTCTGGCATCACCATCCCTGACCAAATGGTCTACTATAGAGCTATATTATAAAAACAACTTGGTATTGGTTTAAAAATTGACACATAGATCAATGGAATTGAATCAAAGACCCTGACTTTAATCCAAAAACATATGAATACCTGATTTTTGACAAAGAAGCTAAAATTATACAATGAAAAAAAGAAAGCATCTTCAACAAATGGTGCTGGCGTACTGGCATAACTGTATGTTGACACATGCAAGAATGCAAATTGATCCATTATCTATGACCATGTACAAAACTCAAGTCCAAATGGATCAAAGACCTCAACATAAATCCAGTTACACTGAACCTGATAGAAGAGAAGTAGCAGAGACACTGAGAGCAACACCTAATAAACGGGACCTCCTGCAACTGAGAAGCTCCTGTAAGGCAAAGGAAAGGGTCAACAAGACAAAATGATAGCCTACAGAATAGGAAAAGACCTTCACCAAACCCACATCTGACAGAGGGCTGATCTCCAAAATATATAAAGAATTCAAGAAACTAGACATCAAAAAACCAAAGAATCCAACTTAAAAAAATGGGGTACATATCTAAACAGAGAATTCACAACAGAAGAATATTAATGGCCAAAAGACATTTAAGGAATTGCTCAAAATCCTTAGCCATCAGGGAAATGCAAATCAAATGACACTAAGATACCATCCCACTAACAACCTCATAGGTTGAGTGAGCTCTACTGACACTGGGGAAATCTTCATAACCATGTGACTTTTTTTGAGCCCACCAATCTCTAAAATTCTGAGGATCTTCCCTGGGTGAATGTTCACTTCAGAGGTCTCATCCCTACTACTCCCCATTATCCTGACCTCATCTCTAAGCATCCTTACTTTCTCAAATTATTGATTATTAATCTTGGGGAGGGGAAAATACAACCCTGGACAGCACATGCAAAATGAGCTTTCAATTTCACTTAGATAAAGTTTCTGATGAAGCAGAGGCCTAGATTTCTGGCTTTGGAAGGAGGATCTACCTAAAGGCTTCCATTGTGAACCCAGAGGTTCCTGCAAATGGCACCTTGGTTTCAAGTCACTTTTGGGTGAGGTATGAGACAGGGATGTAACAGCTATACCATGTGACATCAGCACATGGACATTCTACTGTATCCTGGAGAGCCCTGGCATTCCATGTGATGTCACCAGTGTTGTGGCAACACCAACTGTCATTGGGGCATTTGTGCAGTGTCTCGTGTTTCACCTACAGACATGCTGACTAGACTGAACAGGATTGTTGGGAGACAGGATGGCAAGCACAGGGAGACCAATAGGAGGCAGAAGGAAGATGCTCTTCAGTCTCCATGTCACACATCAAGAAATAGATGGTTCTGGGGAAAGCGCAGTGAGTCCTGGGAAAGAGATGGGGAGCTTCCTGAAGGAGGAAGGCTTCAGCTGATCCTTCTAGGAGTGGGGCTAAGGGGGTGAGAGTTTCTGAGAAGCCATGGGCCTATCCTAGTCCTCTGAGTTCTTAAAGAGCAGAACAAAGTTGTGGATTTTTCAAGGTTAGTTTGGCAGAGAGCCAGGGATGGTCAAGGCTGCAGCTGTTCTGTTGAGGGCTCTCTGCTTTCACTCTGAGTGGGAAGGAAGCACAGAGGGACTAAAGAGGTTTCAGTACCAGCCCTGCACTTCACCCACACTGGATTTCTTTTGGTGTGTGTCACTAATAACAAGAAGAGTAAAGTTACCTGGCCAGAGCTAGAGGTTCTTACACTTAAATAACAACCCACTAGCAGGGCAGGAGCCACCAAGTATTGCTGCATGTCAGTGATCCCTAAGGTTTCTGAGTTTCTGCCTCTCACTAGCCAGTCATCTTCCCTCTACCTTGAGTGCAGGACTGGGACATCACTCTTCCTGTAAGTATTTGTTCTTGGTGTCAAGAGGGCTCACCTGTGGATGCCCAGTTCATAGGTATTTTCAGTCACACTTTCAATGGTTGATAACAACTTTGCTAACAAAATGATGGATGGAATGTATTCCCTGAAGCTTTGGGTAAAAGTTTCATCTTTACCTATATGACTTACCATTGCTCTGACAGGACCCACACAATACTCCGCCATCCTCATACATTGTAACTGCCCCATGGATCTTCTCTGATGTGCTTATTTACCTCATGGAACTGATCTTCCTTCCCCATTATACTGAGCTAATTTCTTAGCATCCTTTATTTCTCATCTTGTTAGTTAGAGATCATCAGGATGAGAAGAGCCATTCCTGGGCACAGTTTGGAAAATGAGTCTTACCCTCCATACATGATGTACTATTGAATTAGAATGAACTAGATTCTAATGAATCAGAGAGATCTCTGGATTCGAAGGAGGAGGTGCTGAAGGCCTTCCCCTGTGTCGAAGGGAAGGCTCCTGGAAAGGGCAGCTTGGCTTTTGGTGAATTGGGGAAGAGTTTGTTATAAGATAGGTGAAGGCTGTTGGCAGTGACCCTAACAGTCCCTTCTCTGGAAATTCTGTTGTATCCTGGAGAGCCCTTGGCATCTTTTGTGAAATCACCAGTGTTGTGGCAATGCCAACTGCCCTTGAGGCATTCATTAAGTGCGTACAGGGTTCACGAATAAACATGTTGGCAAGACTGAGCATACTGGCTGGAAGAGAGATCTCTGTTTTTTTCGGGAGAGGTTGAGGCCAGAACTAGACCTTCTAGTAATGGGGTTCAGTAGCTATAATCATCTGAAGCCATGGGCCTATGCTGCTTATCTGGGTTCCTAAAGAGCAGATCCAAAGTGGAGGTTTCTGATGGGTAGTTGGCAGAGGGCCAGGAATGGTCAAGGATGCAACTGCTGTGCTAGGACATTTTCAGTTCATTCTGATTGTCAAAGAATGCCAAAGGAGGCACAGAACCACTAATGAGTTATCAGGGTAGCATGTTGGTATACTTTATTCTCAGTGGATTTCTGTAGGTTTCATGGATATCTGATATAAATACCAGAGAGTGAAACTTTCCAACCATGTACCTAGGTCTGAGACATTCAGTTGCTTTTAGTCATGCACACAGGTTATCCGGATGGGAGATACAAAGCACCAGAGAGTCCAGGACTTTCTTGCATCACATCAGGTATTGGCTGACAATTCCAAACCAACATGGCTGGCCTTGCTTATGCCTTTCAGGGACAGTGGGGCTGCAGTAGGGCCTGAGTCATATATCTATCCTCAGAGATTGGAGACAGACACATGGCTTATGGTCCCCAGTTTAAAGATAGCTGCTCTGAATTTTGGGGCTTCGCTGGGTCCCATGCATTTCCTCTTCCTCAGGCCTCCTCTTGGAACTCCACATGATCTCTCTTGGCTCAGTGCCATTCATCTGGACAAATACAGTTGTGTTTATGTACCTACAGGGACTACTAGGAAGGCATCATCCACACCCTTCTTCCTCACTGAGCAGGAGCAACAGCTGAACCAGGTGGATAAACTGACCCTTCAGCTACAGATGATGACCAATGAGAGGAATGAACTGCTTGAATTCCTGGCCCTTTATAACAACAATGAGTTGAACAACAGGTACTCATTATGCCCTGTTCTCTGGTGACTGTCTTAACCCTACTGTGTCCTGAGTGCATCTGAGAGGCAGAACTAAAACCTGTAGGAGTGAGATAGGACACAGGCTGTTCTGATTCCTCCAAATGAAAAAGCAGAGCCTGTGGCCTGAATCACAATGTACAGAGGGGCAGTAGGGTGTAAGATCACAACATGCATTTCAAGAGGCCTTGACAGACATTGGTTTTTAGGAGATGCTTGGTACTCTGGGTTGAGTGTTTATATTTGAGCATTTATTTTTGCTTTTTGCTCTGGGAACAGCCTGAATGGCCTTGTGGTCCTACTCGGTACATCTGTGTGTCTGCAAGGCCTAGATTTCATCCCTGCTCCTCTCTAGTCTTGTTCCTTATACTATGAGACAATGCCACTTACCTGCATTTCTCTGACATCCTAACTGTGTGTGGGTTTGTGTGTGTGAAGTGCTCTCTAAGGGGCCCAAACGTTGCAAACATGGCAGTGGCAGGTTTTGATCTTTTCACTTCCTTCTCCCTTGATAAACCATTAGATTACATTCCTAAATTTAGTCCCCAAAGTCTGTTTCCTTTTGTGGACACTGACTCATTCTTGAAACTAAACACCAAAGTCCAACAATCGAAATTCATTACTTGGTTACACTGGCTAACCTGTCCCTTCAGAGCTCAACAATTTACCCAGCACAGACTTAACCTTTTCTACTTAAAAACCCACTGTTAAAAAGCCTGCTGCTTGCTGTTTGCCTTCGCCTGATCAAGATACAGGCTCCCAACGCCATGCTTGCCCTGCTGGGTTAATAAATCTCCTTGTGCTCAGAATTGTGTGTCTGAGTGTGTTCTGTACTGTCTCTGAGAGGCTCACTTACACTGTGTGTATGTGTGTCCTTCCTGATCCTGAGAGTCAGAGATTGATAGTAGGCCTGAATATTCAGATGTCTCAAAGATTTCAGGTGATATAAGTCCTGAAGCCAGGGAGCCCCACATTGAGCCTCACTGCTCTCAGCTTTGTGCTCATCCTGGTCCCTCATTGGAATTCCCTTGGGTGTTTATAAAGCCATACTCATGTAGTGCCTCCTCCATGGCACTACAGATTATGAGTTCTAGGTATCCTTGTAAGGAGAAAAAATCTCTGTTCTCAAGACAGTGGAAATGTCATTGCAGATTTCAGATAGACCCCGACCTGTGGCACAGACTCCTCAGACCCTCTTAGCCAGCTAGTCTGCCCCTGTAGGTCTACTGAGGGAGCTCATGTACTCCTGTCTCCTTTCCTATTGACACCCAGCCTTTCCTGGCCCTGGGACAGTGAGGCAAGTCTAATGCACATCAGGAGGTCCAGTACATGGAATTCAGGGTGTAAATTCCAGTGGACTAGGGTAGTATTAGAACCTTAATTCATGTGGTCCCTGACACCCGTGTTCATGGGGTTCTTTGCTCCTGGGGCCATGCCCTACCACAGGCTGAAATATGAGCTTGAGATGCTGAAAACACAGCATAAGAAGGAGATGTCAGATGTGAAGAAATTCCCCAAGGAGATTTGTGAGGTCTCGTACAAGTGCAAGGAGCTGAGTGAGCAGACCAACTCCTACCGGTGAGTGCCTAATTTAGATGGGACTCCAAAAATTGGTAGGGACTGCTTCTGGTAGTCTGAAGTTTCTCCAGTCCTGCCTGACCCAGCTGTCAGGAGGAATCTGTCCCACTCACCTCCTGAAGCCAAATGGTCCCAAATAAACACACAGAGGCTTATATTACTTACAAACTCTATGGCAAATGGCTTAAGTTTCTTGCTAGCTAGCTCTATCATCTTAAATTAACCCATTTCTATTAATCTATATTTGCCACATGGTTGCTACATGGCCAGGCTGCTGGCATGTTTCTCCTTGTGTGGCAGCTGGCATCTCCTCCACCTCTGACTTTCTTCTCTGACTCTCCTGGATTTTTCTGCCTGGCTCCATCCTGCTTTGCCTTAGCCCAAAGAAGCTTATTTATTAACCAATGGGAGCAATACATATTCACAGCATACAGAAAGACATTCCACAGCAGCTTCTCCCCTTCCTCACCTTAGAACAAAGTTGGGCTGAGGTTCTAGTCTGTTTACCTCTTAGCAGGCAGCCTGCCTTATAGCTCTTGGACTTGTGCCTCCAAAACTGAGTTCTCCTAAGAGTGAAGAGTCTGAGAGCCCCTTCCAACATTTTCCTGTCAACTTCTGGAGCTTCTAGAGAGAAAACATGGTTTGCACCATGAATGTTTTCTGTGGCTCTGGCAGGAGCTTACAGAGCTGGTTTCTATGGGAAACATGGAATGTATTTACATTGGATCTTCTGTCCCCCCTCAGAGCATGGTTTCCCTCTACCTGCTCATGTTTTCTCAAAGCTGTGAACAGGTTAGCACCAGGATGTATGGTGGAGAGGTAGGAGATCCAGTTTTCGGAGTTACATGGATCCCTTTTGCTGTCAGGGTATTCAGAAGTAGTTTGAATCTTTCTGTAATTTGGCTATTCTCTGGCTTTAGTCTGCACCTGAGTCATGCTGGCATGGCTAATATGCATTCATCCCAGGGATCTGTTGTTGGGGACATGACACCTTGCAGGAATGATGGTATTAGGAGGCAGGAGTGGCAGATGGAGGTGGAGCTCATCAATTTTAGTGATATTTCAGCACCCTCTACAGTCAGCTCCTGAGGGAAAGGACTCAGCTAAAGGAAAAAATGAGCATGTTGAAAGAGGACAACAGAAAGCTGCAGGGGGAGCAGATTTTACTACAAGAGTCCTGCGAGGAGGCGAGAAGGCTCTGTGAGGAGGCCCATGAGAAGATCTATGACCTCTGGACAAAGCAGCAGCAGGTAGGTTGAAGCAGCAGGGCCAAACTGCCCACTTGTCTAACCATACACACACATATACACACACCTATGTAACCATCTACTCACTTATCCACCTGACCCATCCCATCCAATAGTTCATTTCTGTGATCATTCACAAGTCATTCTGGGGAGTTAGCCTCTTGGAAGGCACTGCATGACTGGCAAGCAAACCCTACTGCTCTGTTAGAAGCTGCAGTCCATCGAGGGAGATGGGTAAATTACATGTCACTCACTGATATGGTAGTACGGAAAGAGCAGTGCTATGTATGATGGGAGCCACATAGGGAGTAGCACAGAGATCTGAGTGAGTGAGTTCAAGGGTTCTGGGTCTCACTTGCTTTGCACAGGTCATATGAGATCAGAGGCAGAAACAGTATGGAAGGAGGAACGTCCCCTACAAAAGCCAAATGACTGGGTCTTGTGGACATCTTTTTGGGTGTCATATGGCATTTTACCCGCTTGTTCCCAGACTGCCATGGTGTTCTCTTTACCTGGTCAAACTCTTGGTTCACACTGACAGAAACTTAAGTAACAGTTTGTCAATACTGTTTCCTGTGACTAGCATTGGCCAGTTCTCCCATCCTGGATCTTACACTCAGAAGCTCACTGGATGACCAGGGATGTGGCAAGGGGTTATGACAGGTGGATGTCAGGGTGGCAGATTTGAAATTTTAAGAGAATTATTTCTCCAACTGCACCAACAAAGACTGCAGAAGCACATAATGCTTCCCCAGGCATGTTTAGTCTCAAAATGATGGAAAGCAGAACTGTGGGTCTCACTTGAAACAGCTAGTGTGAGGAGTCTAAATTCAACTGGTAATGTCATCCTCATTCAGTTGATGTCCTCCTCATTGTGTTCTGTTCACTTATGATTTGAGGTGTGTGTGTGTGTGTGTTGTATGCATTCTTGAGGGTGCACACATTAGTGAGTTTGTTGGAAGGCCACATCAAGTGACCTCTCTTGCTTTCTTCCTTATTCCCTTTAGCCTGCGTCTCTCACTGAACCTGAAATTTTCTCTTCTGGCTAAGCTGGATAGCCACAGATCTTTGCATCTCCTGTCTCCTCACAGTAGAGCTTCATGTCTTTTTGTGTCTCATCTCATTGCTAAATGATTCATTTGGTCAGAAAAAGAACTGACTTGTTGGATTCTCTTAATTTTTGCACATTTTGATTACATTGGAATTAATGAGTTTTGTAATAAATAGCAAAAATCAAACAATGGAGCTATTTGAAAAATCAACATAGACTTTTCTTTCACAGCATAGAGGTAACATCCTGGGATATTTCTAGTTTGTCTTACTGGCTACACAATATGGAACCTGATATTTTGATGCTCACTCTATCATGTATATGACTGTGTCTTCGGACAGATTCCTCCTCCTCATAGTTGTATAGAGTGCGCATTTCAGAAAAGTGCTTTAGGTGACCTAAGTAGCCTCCTAGTGACTTCCTTGGGACTGTTTTCATATAATATGCACTGTAATCTGGTCAAAAGAGATTGGGTAAAGTAATGACAATGGGTGACCTCCATTCTCTGGTCTATCACTGTCTTCTGTGGAGGAGTCTGGGTAGGTTTAGTGAAGAGTCTATGATGGGTCAACTTGCATCTGTCGGAAGGCTTCATGTCCAGTCATCATCCATGGGCACCTGGTCTTGTGTGGTCAAACTCAGTTGTGCAGAGGTTGTTACTCTTCTGTACAATCAGTGAGTCTGGCGATAAAAACTTCCCTAGGAGGGGAAATAAGTTCAGACCAGGGCAGAAGAGCCTGGATGAGTCTGAGTCTTGTAGACAACAGGGAGGACACACTACCTCTCCCTAGAATAGAAAAGGTGCTGTAACATTCTAGTCTTCTCCCTTGCTCTTCTGGGTTCAAGAAAGGTGTGTGTGTGTGTGTGTGTGTGTGTGTGTGTGTGTGTGTGTGTGTGTGTGTGTGTGTGTGTCTGTGTGTGTCTGGGTATCTGTGTGTTGTCTTTATGTGTGTCTATGTGGGTATGGGAATATGTGTTTGAGCCTCTATGTGTATGTTCACTCACTCATGGAACAATGGCACATCTTTAAGAATGATGGAGACAGACTTCAATGTGAAAATACTATGCCTAACCTGGCTAGTACCACTTTGCATCAGTCAAAGAACTGACGGAGCTGCTCCATTCGGCATGTCCATAAAGCTAACAACAACAAAAGACAGAAAATTGATGCAAGGTAAAATTTTTTCAGGTCTTTGTAGAGGCAGAATTATTTATCTGCAAAGAAATCCTTTGGAGAAAAACAAAGTAATGGTGTCCATGAAGGTGAGAAAGAGGCTACTGAGAGGCAGGAAAGGCTGCCTGAGGGTTTGTGTCCTTCTCTGCCCTGGGTGAATGGTGGCTGAGCACTGATGACTTCCCTGCATCCTGTTTTGTTCTTCTCCTCATCGCCTGCTGACATTTTCCTTTCACCTCTGCCTAACCTTGGTTCAGCTAATCTTGACCATGGAGCTTGGCATGGACTTTATTCCCTGAGAAATGATGAATTGCAGAGGTGCTTGTGGCTGCATCTCAGCCCAGTAGAAGTCCCACAGCTATGCTGAGGTGTGAGGAGAGGCTGTCTCAGTACACCCCTTAGACTCACCATACTCTAAAGCACCCACTCCATGTTGTGTCTGCAGCATTCAGAACCTGATTTTATTCCAAACTTCTTCATACTGAGTTAAAATTCGTCCTGATGGAGGGTTGGCAGAAATGAGAACTCTCCAATATCGGTAGTAGTGTAAAATGGTGCAGCCCTGTGAGAAGCTATGTACAATTATACAGAAAGTTGAAATACAGACTCTAGGTGGACCATTGATTCTAGAATGGAAATGCCTCTAGGCTGGAATATGGGTAAAGTGGGTATGGGTTAATGAAAGGTAACTTTCATCTCCATACTATGCCAGATGATCTCTTCTTACAATAGTGTTATCTGGGAAACTAAACATGGATGCAATGTAGTGTGCTTGTATGCGTGCATCCATGCAGTGTCGTTACTGGCTCAGTCAACAGGAACTTCTGTCCTGGAAAGGGGTGTACACAATCCTCTCCTAAAAACACAATGTTCTAATGAACAGGAACATCAAAGACTTAAGGAAAATCTTCAGTCCCTGAGGAAGCAGAAGGAGCTGCTCACCCAGCAAATGGACTTGGCAGTAAAGCTGCAGCATCATTTCACTGTGTCCCAGATGAGGTAGGAACCCAGGATTCCAGAAGCAGGTGGATCCAAGTGGGTCCGCTGTACCTGGATCTCTGTCCTCTTTGAGTTTCTGTTCAACTGGTAAAGCTTCCAGTCACAGCCAGGGAAAGAACACCTCAGAGTTTCGTTACTGGCTCAGTCAACAGGAACTTCTGTCCTGGAAATAATATGCTTTCTCCTTGGTCTTATGGGGATTGTGTCCTCTTCTTCCCTTCTGAGACCTCTAGTATCCTCTGAGTATCTCATCTCTTAGATTAGATCTCCTCACAAATATTCACATGACAGCCAGAAACCTAGAGGGGAATAATCAATCGTGCAGGAAAGTGTGTCCTCCTACAACTTTATTTTCCATCATGAACGTTATGTTTAGAGATAAGTGTCTACACGTTGGCAGATTTGCATACAGCAGCCTACTGCTGATTGCTGGCTCTCTTCACTGTTTATCAGTTTCTCATGAGAAGATTTACTCTGGTCACAAACAGAGTAGGAGTTGACAAATTAATCCCATGCAGGGGTCTGGGCTGTAGGAATCATCAGAGCCTTCTCTGCATTGCAGTGTACGGTCCACTAGAGGGCAGGCATAGAGTTTTCCCGGAGGTTCACATTCACCTGGTATCTAATCAAGACCAGGTACATCCTCCCTGACCTGTGCCTCAGACCTCCTCATACTGATATTTCTCCAAAATGATGTCTTTGGACTGTTGGAGAAACATGCTGTTTTTTTCGAATCCAGCACAGTGTGTATTTTCCAGTTCAACTTCTAGCAGTTTTTAAAAGTTGAGGAAAAAAATCCTGCCCAGTAGCTCTCTGACCCTTTTCCTTTGGGGAAGCAGGGAATGAACTCAGCTGAAAGGCAATGCTAGATTGTCTAGCTGAGTAGATCTGGTGGGGGCTCAAAAGCTGACATGGCAGGTCCCCACCAGGCCTGTGCCCCAGCTGCCTTTCTCCCCTAGGTTTGAAAACCTCCAGCAGGAACTGGAGCAGACCACAGCCCGGGATGAGAGCCTCCTGCAGATGGAGCTGCTGAAGCAGAAACACTATGTCCCTGGCAAGTAAGTTACCATTGAGACCCATCCCCAGCAGCCAGGGATCATGGAGTGTGTTTCCTTCCTTAACTTTTGTTTACTAGGGATGAATAGGCCCTGATTTTTCATGCCAGTGGCACAGCAAAACTGTTTCTGAATCATACTTTCTTTACTGATTTTACCTGACAGCACCTCTTAAGAAGACTGAGAAGGCTGGATGAAGCCAGAAACACCTTGAAGGCATGACATTCTACACTCCAGGTTCAAGGCCTCCTCAGAAAATGCCACGTCTTTTCAGCTTTAAACTCAATAGTGAGGCAAATATCAACCTACCATCAGGCGATCCAGCCTCAATCTGATCCATATCAGTGGGCTCACTATCACTGGAGAAAATTTTGTGTCAGAAATAAGTCTAAAATACAGAGAACACAAGACAAATTATTAAGAACCCTGACTCCATATGTGATGGGAAATCTGACAAGGAAGACTGTTTATGTCACACTGCCATCTAGACAAAACACACCAAAAGTACAAGAGTCTCTCTAGTGCAGTGCAGAAGCTGACACCATGTCATGGGCAAATGTAGCTGAAGATAATTCACTACAGAGAATAAGCCAGTTCCTCACCTCTTTTGCTCTTCCATAATGAAATTACAAAGGAAACTGTAATCTCCTTAATATTTTTGTTTTATATCTTGGGATATTTATGCTTTGGTTTTGGGTTTTCTTCATTTTCATTTAAGGTTTTGTTAACTTTTGTTATTACTTTTATTCTTGTCATTGTTTTAATAGTTTGCTAAGGCTATACACTGTATATAATGATACTGTTTTGAAGGCCCCATTGAGTAAAATGAATGTATTTTATGAATAAAATACAATTTCAAACTTTTCACTCTGAGACTCTTCTTTAGTCAGGTGAGGTTTCACACTCCTTTAAACCCAGAAATCACAGGCTTGGATGTATCTCAGTAAGTTCCAGGAAGCTCAGGCTGCACAAGGATTTTCCATTCATGGGCCTCAGGGATACACAGGGGGATTGCACCTGGATGTGGATGGCATAGCCTACTCCATGGATAACAACTATATAAGAGAAAAACTAGACATATTATATCTGTGAGGTCATATATTTAGCTACCAGTAAAATGTGGTACACTGTACACACTTGTTCACAAAATCAAAATGTAGACCAAATTAAGGGAAACAAAAATATATTGTTCCAGGCTTCTCAGGAAATAAGAATGTTCATTAAAATTGTATAAAAGAAATCAGGAAATGTAAAGCAATCTGCCTCTGGTTTTCTTGGAATATATCATGAGTGATAACAGATCAGTAGAGATAATTTCCTGCAAGACACGCTGGGATATTTTGTGGTGTTTTCTTTATGCTTAGGGGTGTTTTACCACCACATACATGCAATTCCTACAGAGGCCAGGGGAGGGCAGAGTCCACCTGGAATTTAAGTTAAAGAGGTTTGTTAGCTGTCCTGTGGGTCTTCTGAGACAGCAATAAATGCTCTTAATGGATGAGCCATCTCCCCAGTCCCTGCAATATACCTTTGTCCTCCCAGCGACGTGTGCTGTATTAGGTGGATTGGATCACTCCCAAACAAAGACTGAAGTTTCTTGGAACCTGTAGGGACAGGCATGCTAATTGTCTTAGGCTGCCACACATCATCCATTCAGGACCCTAAGAGGTTCAGGATCCTGCCCCAGTCTCACTGATTGTCAGAATGGAACAGATTTGCTAGATCTCTTCTAGGTTGACAACACCTATTAAGTCTGTCTGATGAAATGCAGAATTGAGAAGACCCTCCGGAGGGTAGAGGTAGGATGAGGAATCCCTCTTGATGGTCCATATAAGCAATGTTGGGAGGAACCTCATGACTAGAGGGAGTGGATGGAGCCTGCATCAGGGGCACATGTCTCTGGTGCAGAGAAATTCTGGGCAAAACTAAAAAAGGAGAGAAGTGGTTGAAGCTGCTCTTTTACTATAGCAGATCTCGATTATATTGAGAAAGTTCTTCAAGATGACTGATTTACTCTGGTGAAGCTCCTCTGGGATAGATCTGAGTTCTGAGACTGAGAGTGAGGCAGAGATTTAATGTGTAAAGGAAGTAATTCCGTGTGCCTCGAGGCTGGAACTATCACTATCAAGAGCAAAAGGTACCTACTGTCTTCTGATCTTAGAGCGTGTGTGTGTGTGTGTGTGTGTGTGTGTGTGTGTGTGTGTGTGTGTGTGTGTGTGTGTGTGTGTGTGTGTTGCCAGGTCTTGGTCCACAGAAGCTAAGACATCTGGTTTTTCATTCCTCACTTAAGCTAGAATCTGTCCATCTCATATAATTACTCATTTAATTAGATTACTGTGTGTTCCTTTTGAGAAATTTCAGACTTGTTTTAATTTACTTTCTTGCCCAGTGATTCTGTGCAATTCATAACTGAGATAATGCTGTTGTGAGGCCCAAACTACTCTAAAAGTTTTATCCCTGTCTGCTTTTGGTCAGGGTTCTATGGGGTAACAACTTATAGAATGCATTTCTATACATTCAAAAGCCTATTTTTTAGAATGACTTAGAGGCTGTGATCCAGCTAATTGAACATTGGTTGGCTATAATGGCAAAGTCCAAGAATCCAGTAGTTGCTCAGTCCACCATGCTTGATGTCTCAGCCCATCAGTAGTATAGTCTGGAATCCCAAAGAAGATGGCTCCAATGTCAGTGAATGAATGGACTTGCTAGCAAGGTGAGAGCAAGCAGCTAAAGAGCAAAAGCTCCCTTCCTCCATTTCTGTATATGGGCTTCCAGCACAAGGCCTGGCTCAGATTACAGATGAGGTTTTGGGGCTCAAAATGTCTGAGTTAAAGGTGTTTCTTTCCTCATTAACATCCAGATAATGTCTTCCAACCACAAAGAACTGGATTCTATGTGGATTTTCTCTCTTCAAATTAAGCAAAAATACCTCACAGGTGTGCCCCGCCATTTTTGGGTCTTAGTTAATTCCAGATGTAGTAAAATTGACAACTAAAAATATCTATCACAACTTCACCCCATGTCAACTTGACACACAATTATATGTTTTTATATCATGATTAATTTCTAAATGTAAAATAATAACCAGGTCATAATAATGCCTAAACATGATATAATTATTCCAAGTACAAAGCAAACACATTATGTATTAGACCAGCTCAAAATTATGCCTAGCATGATTTAACTATCCCTGTACAACTACAAACACAATAAAAAGTTAGAATAAGTGGTAATGTCCCTTGAGGGACATTTATTAAACATTTATTAAATCTCAAATTTAAATATGATAAACATCAATATTCTCCCTTCTTTTAGAATGAATGATTTTATTTATTTGTTTATTTTTGTTCTTACATCCTAACCAAAATTTCACCTCCATCCTCTCCTCTCAACCCTCCGCCCACCTCCACTCTTCGTGATCCACATCCATTCCTCTTTCTCTTTCTTCTCTTCAGAAATGGGCAGGCCTCCTATGGATATCTGCCTGCCATGTCTTATCAAGTTATGGTGGGACTAGGCATGACTTCTTCTATTAAGGGTAGATATATCAACTCAGTAGGAGGAATGGGTCCCCAAAGCAGGCAATAGAGACAAGCCCTGCTCCCACTGTTAGGAGTCTCACAAGAAGACCAAGTTATACAACTGAAAAATATATGCAGAGGGCCTAGGTCAGTCCCATGCATGTTCCCTGGTTGGTGGTTCAGGCTCTGATTCACTATAAGCCTAGGTTATTTAGTTCTGTGGCATGCTTGTGGGGCTCCTGACCCCACTATCACTTACAAAAATTTAATTGTGTATTCAATAATTTAAATGCATTGGTGTTTTCCCGTCATGTATGCCTGTGTGAGGGTGTAAAATCCTCTGGAACTAGAGTTACAAACATTTGTGAGCTGCATCGATTTCTTTCATTATTTTAATAATTAATTATTTCATATGAATAGGGTATGGAAATCTACTGATCAGA